CCCTTCCAATTCTTCCTTCTTCTCAAGGGGCACAAGACAAAAGAGAGAAAAGTTTAAACTAAGAAATTATAAAAATGACCAAAAAAGAAAAACAAACAAAGAAAAGAAAAAAGAAACACAGATTTTGAAAAAGAAAAAACATAAAAAGAAATCTAAAATCCTAAAGGCACTATTATAACCTGTGTATAGTTGGTAAAAATTATATAATAAATACAACATTTGTATATCTCTATTGTAAAGCTTCGTTTTAACGTTAAAGTTTACTTTTCAACCCTCCCACTAACTTCAAATGGCTCTGTTGCCTGTTCCAATTTGTATCTTGAGCCAGGTGCTGCTGCCTTACAAGAACCTGTATTTCAAGCCATCTGCTGCTATAATTCAAGTTCCCAGGCTAATTTCTGTGAAGTAGCACCATATCTGTCTATAAACAAACATGTAGTTGTATTTTACTAGACCATTCAAATTTTGGAGGTAAACAATGCTAATCTTTTGTAGAGAGTAAACCAAATCTCCACTTTTTGTCAAAAAATTTTGAAAGAAAGGCAGAGAAGCGAAAAAAGAATAGTAGAAACCACTTGGTCAGAAAAAAGAAGTGTGGCTTAAAGAAAGCCCGTTCTTTACTGTTCTCTAGTTATTTTGCAACCGATAGCTTCATTGACAGAAGGCTTGGACTTCTATTACCTCCACCTAGTATTGGGTTGGGACAGGGACACAGATAATGGACAGTCCGAGATAGAATGTCCCAGACATGTTTGCCAGAATATTAACATCCCAAACAATAAAATTACAGTAAGAGCTGCTTTGTTAGCCAATCAGATCATTTGATTTGCCCTTGTGTACAATGTGACATTAGACACCATAATGGATATGAGACATTGTCTAGGGCATGGGCATTGTCTGGGACTGTCTGTGTCCCTGCAATTTTAATGGGACAACATCTAAACCCAACACTACCTCCACCTATCCACCAAAATTTCATATACAAGGGCACCATCTTCTGCTAGTTATCTTGTATACTAACGCTTTTGGCTTGCATGTCGAATATATAAAGGAGTCTTCAAGAATAGAGAAAGATTAATCTTTATAAAAACCGCCCTGTTGAAATCACCTTATTACAGGTTACTACTCTTCAGTATTGAAAATAGGCTTTTCTTTTTGTTGAAAAATTTGGTCCAAGTGATCATCAAAAAGAGTAATATGATATATATATATATATATATATATATTTAACTAGCTTTATTCTTATTAGTACAATTAATGCCTTTTATTTTTTAATTTTTCCTATTTTTCTTTAAGTTTTAGTTGATTATTGTATTGAAGATTACTTGTGGCCAGAAACTTAAAACCAATAATAATATTATCTAATTCCTTAATACAATTTAGAACTATAGAATTATAATTGAGGTCTTCTCCTTTCAATTTTGCTTTTAAGAATTCTATATATATTTTGAGACTTTTGGCAATAAAAGTTTTCAATAGATTTACTTCTGGTTGATAATTTTTCAAAATATCATAATTGAGTATATCAATATGCTTTTTAAAAGGCTTTTTCTATACAGATCCAGTGACAAATCTTTTAATATCATGGTCTGAAGAATTACTATAATTTAATATAATTAATATTTATTTGAGTACTAAAGTAGATATGAGTATTATGGCACAGTTAAATGTGCCAATAGAAAAACTTTATTATATTGATTTAAATAATTGTTAAATTTTACCAAAGTAGGTCTATTTTAACTTGAATTAAACTTTTTTTTGTTTAAAAAAATTTTTTTCTAAGTATGTAAAATTTCTTCTGAAAATCAAGATTGTCAAGATAACAACCAAAAATAGCACAAGATATATAATCAGGTAGTACCGCTTTTTTTCACATCTTTTTTTTCAAACTGTTTTTCCTCCTTAATATGTTGTTGTTCCATTCTTATATGTTCTTTTTCTTTTTTTTTTTGTCTATAAATTTCTTGCTTTTGTGCTTTCTCGATCTTCTGTGCTATTTGACATTGAGTGGCTACCTCTTTTTTTTGCTTTTTTTTATTGGCTGCTCTTTCCAATTCTTCCTCTGCTTCTCTCAACAACTGCAATGACTCTTCACCAGTAAAAAGTTAGAAAAAAGGCATAGTCTTTCATTTTTTTTTGGCTGCTAAGTTTCAGGCTAATTATTTGTTTCTGATTTTTCATTCCGCTTTGAATGATGCTGCAAAGGGTACTTAAGTACTAGTCGCAAAGAACTGGTACCAGGATTTTTATAAAGCTCCAACTCTGATTTTAAACATTCAACTCTATCATTAAGCAATTCTATTTCTGACTATAATTCTTTATTTGTAGAAGTTGGACAGAGGCAACTTAAAATAAAACTAGAAGAGGAAACTAGTACAGCAAGCAAATCAGAACTTTATGTATTGGCAATAAATGCTCTAAACAGCTAGGACTAATGGCATCAGGATTAAAGAGCCATATTCCAATGCATTAAAAGAATTACATATTGCAGTAGGGATAAATGCCTTAATATAGACTTGTCCAAGGATTTTAGCGAACGTATATTTTGTAACTAATTTGCCACTGCTATTAGTGTAATACTTATCATATTCACTACTATATGCTTGTTTAAGATAAGCAAAATGTAACTCAGCAAGTTGTAAAACATAAGTGGTATGTAGTAGAAGAGCGTAAAGAAGAATGTTATTTTCGTAGCAGAAATTAATACAAGTGTAATTAACATGGCTCTTGTGTCTAACAAGAATAAGCAAAACAGGGTGAGCAGAAGGAATAGATCTAATAAAATACTCTATATATTTTTTAAATAGGCTCTTCCACATATACTCTGTGTTAGTAAACCTCATAATAGTGCCAGCGGGTGCACCATCTAAAAGATCTGAAATTATTCACTTGTCTTTATATATTATTAATAGTGGCATAGTTGGCTATATGGAAATGTGTTCGTAATTACTACTATACTAAACATGATGAATTTGACATACTTCTTTTTTTGCAATTATTTTTTGTAGTTGAGGTTCAATAATGAAACCTATCTTATGCAAATAAAGCGCGATGTGATAAAAGGCCGATATGTAAAAGGACAACATAATAAAAGAGTGACATGATAATTTGGTCATCAGAAAAAAAACTACAAAAAAACACAAAAAAAAAAACATAAAAAAAAAACAAAAAAAAAACACAAAAAAAAAAAAAGATAAAAAAAAAAAAGATAAACAAAAAAAAAAGACCTATCTCATCCATGTTTCAAATCCATCAGAGATAAGCAAATATTTATTAATGATATTTTTGAGTTTGTTAAAATAGTCATTGATAATAATTAGATTCGCTTTTTAGGTATATGCTTTGTTTAGAGCTTGTGGAACACAGAATGAAAGTTCAGGATAGTCCCTTAGAACCTGGTTCTACCATAATTGACCTGGTTCACTCTCATTAAAAGAATGTAGATATTTATCTCTATGAACAATCTCTAGTATGCAATAGTTTACACAATCGAAACCAAGTTGCTATATATTTAAGCAATAGCGACTAATTGCTCTTCTTCATAGTTAGTTAAAATTTTATTAGAGCCTGGACAGTTAAAAGGACCATCATTCAGAATAACATATCTAAGTGTTGATTTTGGAATATCAAAGTTACGTGCAACTCTCCTTTTACTTGAGAGCTTAGAATCATTTGAAGAGTCTTTAATAAACTTAAGAGCCTCTTTAATAACACTATCTCGAGTATCTTTATCTTTTTTAAGTGCCATAACTTGAAGCTTTTATTTTAGTCTTTTGTAAATTTTTATTTAACACAGTAATAAATCTTTATATCATATAACAAAATAGACCACAGTTAAAGCAGTTCAAAACATTCGCCATTTTTACACATTTATAAACTGATAGTATGGTTACACTTGATCATACAACTCAACAATTGTTATACTGTTATAATGATAAAAACAGTCACTACGTTTACACAGTTTTATAGTTATACCTAATTGCGCGATCTAAAATATTTGATTCTAATAAATGCTACAAAGATACACTTTAATTTAAATTATGCAGTATATTTTTAATGTGCAACACTTAGTCTAGTTCCCTAATAAATATAAAATTGTAAGGTTGTATAGTAATTGTTTTAAAAAGTCATTTTATAAATATATGATTCTTCTTTAAAAAATACTATTAATAGCTATTATTACTTTGGTAGTGATATCTCATGACCTATTGATCAGAATTGTATAATTTTGACACCAATTGATTTGTCTTACTAAGATAGATCGATTGGTACCAAAATCGTACAATTCTAATTGATAGATCATGAGATATCATAATTGTGCCATAATTAGTAGTGTACTATAATACATATATCTACCTTATATTAAATTAAGTATAGAAAACTAAAACTTTTTTTTCAAATTAGCTGATTAGCCAATTTGGCCATATTATTATTAAATGTGGTGCGATAATTTTCAAATGCTTGTTATAATTTATTTGAAATTTTATTCCAATTAGAGTATGTTCTAGCTATATTGGGATAATGCAGTTTATTAATGAAGCACAAGTTCTTTTTGTTAGCATTCGAGTTTACAAAAATAAAATTTTTGATTGTTTTGAGAGTATTAGATATATTATTCTGGGAACCTATTTATTGTATATAAATTTTATTAATAATATTTTAGCAAAGTTTAAAATTAACTTTTGCTATACTATTAATTGGTTAATATTAAAATAATGGCTTTAAACAAGTTATTATGATTATTAATCAATTGATTATTAATTGTGCATTATTGTTGTTATTGTACATAGCAAAATCACACTGTTGGTATTACCCTAATCGAAAAACAAACCTGGTTTGAAATAACAGGCAATGATAAACAAATTGCATACAATGCTTATAAAACAAGATCTTTGCGTGTTTCTAACTATCAAAGAAGTTACGCTTTATCTTGAAAAGAAATTTCATCGTTTGAAGCTGAAGTTGTATAATCTCTATTCTGTTTAATCATTGTATAAAGATTAGTATTTTGAATATTCAAAGAGGCCAGATAAACCGGTCAAATGAAGAAAAATTTCATCCTCTAATAATTCATCTTCTAAAAGTTTATCTTCATAATCAGACAGATATTCACTAAGATGTTGAGAAAAAGAGTTAGTTTTAGGCCTATTTGATTGAATTCTTGAAATACCAAATCTTATATTTATTTGCAATGGCACTTTATATTGATATTTAGCTGCTGCAAGAGAATATGTAGTTTGATTTTAAATTCGCTGATCTTTAATATAAGTTAGCTTTATAGAAGATGTGCGATTTTGTTGATAAGCATATTGTTCAGATTGTAAATCTTCTTGCAGTTGATTTGAAGTAGCTGGCAATTTTAAAGTTGTTTCCTCATTATTCAGATTAATATTTTCTTTTTTGAATATATAATATATAGTTATTGGATGCGAAGCAGCCAATAACTCGAATTATTTGTAAAATAATTCATTAGGAGTTATTGGCT